AAAGATCCCATCGTTGAGGAAGTGAATGTTACGACAACATCGATGCACGAATACGTTCCTAAATGAATTGGCATAGAGAGCTATCTTGAACCTTCCGGTTCCACGTACCACCGTAAATGCATAGTAAGCAGACTATCATGTATGTAATTTCGGCAGAATGTTCGGGGCGCAGTTCGGCGACGGGGGGGGGCATTTTGCTTCCCATCGATGTGTCGACCCATCTAGGCAGCCTTTTCTTGAGTTGACACGTTTTACCATGGTGGCTAGACGAGCTTGCTCCAGCTTCACAAGAGTTCACAAGTTTCACCAGAGTAGGACTTCTTAAACTACTCAGTCTTTATCGTTTTCAACTTTATTCCTTATAAACTTGCTGCAATTGATTTTTTCTTCCTTTCCTTACTGAAGAGCACGGAAGGAGGAATATGCTTTTGCTCGGCTTCCGTCTAAGGGCACGTGCGAAACGGAAGCTGAGCTATCTCTTTGCTTTCGACCCCCTCAATAATTCTCATTTATTAGATTTTACAACATAGTCCATTAATCTCAATTTCAATGATTTTATTTGTAAACCGGAAGCAGTGAAGCAGTGAAAGTGCAAAATGCCGCCCTTCACCTCACTGTGCCGACGTTCGGTTTTCGAAATCAAGTACCTTTTCACAAAATTGTACAGGTTATCGTGCACCTCAAACTCTGTCCAATCAAAGAAAACGTTCTTCAGTGTGGCATTGCATTCCGAAGCGCTGGTGCTCGGTGGCTCATGGCAAAAAAGGGAGTGAAAACAATGGAAACATGGCTACTCTTTTTCCATCGACATTGTCCTTCATTCCCTTTAGAGAGCATCCGCGTTCTGAGGAATTTCAAAAGTACAGCTATCGTGTCAATGCCGCCGACGGCCTATTGGCAAATGGCCCGCTTAACACGTTCACGGCCTATAACACGTTTCACGTATCCTTGAGTGAAGTCCCGGCGAACAGGCTCCCTGGCCATGGCTCACCCCTTATCCAATTTACCACACGGTTTTTGATTCTTCTTCTTCTTCTGCTTCTTCTCCCTAGCGTTAGTCCCGCGCCGTCGTACGGTCAGCTGTTCTATTATCACGCGCGCCACTTTGTTTCCGATCCACTGCATCCTCTGCTGTTGGCTTTCACTTACAGGTGAGTCCCTCTGAGACGTTCCATTCATCTTCTTTGGGGCTCTTCTGATGCGTCGCTGCCCTCTACCTACGAGTTCCAAATGCCCTGCATTTGGGGTGGTCTTCGGGGCCTCCTCAGTACATGACCGTACCATCGCAGTCGCTGCTCTCGTGCCTTCAGCTGGATAGGAGCCGTCTGTGTGACTGCTCTGACGTCCTCGTTTCTGACGTCTGTGCCGTCACAGCCGCAGGCCATCTCAGGCATCCACATTGTCAGCTGATTGAGCTGCCTTCATGGTTTTGCAATAGCGGCAGCACTCACTGCCGTAGAGCATTGTATGGCCTTACCACCGCCCGGTACACCTTGCCCTTGAGCGTTCTCGAGCACCGCCGGTCGCACAGGATGCCAGCGGACTCCCTCCATTTTCATCCAGGACTAGCGTGATTCGAGGCCCTCACGGCCTTGCGTTCCACGTGCCATCAGCTGCTAGCGTATGTTGCCCAGGTTTTATGCGAAATCCTCGACCCATTCGATACTCTCGCCATGGCGGTCCACGATGAGTTCGGCGCACTCTTCGGAGCTTAGGAACTTGGTCTTCTTTACGTTCAGCCGAGTCCATTCTCAGCGAAAGTCATTCTTGCAGCCGTGGCACTGAGTTCCTCCTGCTGTCGCTATCAGGGCGAAGTTCGTTCAAGCAGAATGAGGATGGTTTTCAGTGGTCCCTCCATGAGTTCTTTTGCCATGACATCTAGAGTCAGGAGGAAGAGGAACGGGCTGAGGGCTGAGTCCTTGGTGTACCCAACCGCTGATGTTCCTCTTGTCAAGCCGTGAGGGGTGCGTACAGCTGCTTTAGCCCCATCGTACATGTCCTTCACTATAGAGATGAGGTGTTCCGGAACGTTACGTTCTCTGAGCGCTCTCCAGAGTACAGGCCTTGGCAGGCGGTCGAATGCCTTCTCAAGGTCCAGGAAGGCTAGGTAGCAGGGTCGCCGCTTCTCTCGGTACTTCTCCATCAGCTGTCTGGCGATGAGATGGCATCGTGGTGGTGGACCTCTCGGGCATGAAGCCGAACTGTTCCTGCGAGATAGGGACAAGTTCCCTCAGCCTAGTGTTGACCAGGCGCTCGTACAGCTTCATGGTATGGGGAGTCAGCTTGATCCCGCGGTAGTTGGAGCACTCCGTCGCGTCCCCTTTCTGTTTGTTTGAAGATGGGAACGATTGTGCTGCTCCTCCACGCATTCGGCATCCTTCCTTCAGCTGTTACGTTGTTTAGGAAGTGCGTGAGCCAACTCACCCCATGCTCTCCAAGGGCCTTCGCCTTCCATGCCTCTCTTGTACCCCCTCTGCGACCCACTGCCCTTTCCTAGCTTCCATTCTCTCAGCTCCCGAGCGACCTCATCTTCGTCCAGGGAGTGATGGGACCTGCCGTCGCCTCTATCTGTGGGCTATCCTCGTGCGGGGGAATTTCTTCGTTCAGAAGTCCCTCGAAGTATTCTTCCCACCTCTTCCTGACTTCGGCTGGTTTCCTGAGAATGGCCCGTTGCTGCTCTTCACAGTCTTTACGACCCTGATGTCCTGGCTGCGCGATGCCGAGCTTTAGCCAGGGAAGACGAACTTGTCCCCTTCTCGGCCTTCCAGCTTGTCGTACAGGGCGTCCATTTCCGTATTCTTGGCCTTAGCAACGGCCGCCTTAGCGAGTCTTGCAGCTTCGTAGGCAGCGTGTCGTTCATGCGGGCTCCGTGTCTTTTTGCCAGCGTTTGTATGCTTCCTTCTTCTGCTTGACGATCCTCTGGACTTCCTCGTTCCAGAACCAGGCTGCCTTGTCTCCTCTGATACCACCTCGCGTCTCTCCCAGGACCTCCCTTGCACACTGTAGGATGACCTCTGCTGCGTAGGTCCAGGTGTCCTGGACTGGCCCATGTGGGTCTGGGAGCCCAGCCTCCAGTATTCTTCGGCCGAGGCTATCCTTTTCTACCCTTGCCCATTTTCCACCACCGAATTCTCCGCTCTGCTCTCACCCTCGTCTTCTTGGGGAGGTCTATGGCGATGTCTGCCAGGAGAGGCCTGTGCTGAGGGCCCAGCTCTTCCCCAGGCAGTACCTTGATATCCTTGACGGTTTTGAGAGACGATCTTCTGACCAAGCCATGGGTCGATTTCCGTTTGTCTCCCTCCACTGCTGTAGGTTACCTTTTGGGTCCTCCTTTTCGCGAAGAAGGTGCTGCAGATTGCTAAGTCGTGGGCTGTTGCTAGGTCAAGGATTCGTCCTCCCTCAGCGTTCTTTGTCCCTATTCCTTGACCTCCGTGCACCCTTTCTAGACCCCTTCTGTCCCTCCCAACATGGCCATTCAGATCTCCAGCTATGGTGAGATAGTCCTCTTCCGGAACCGATCTTATGGCCTCGTCCAGGGTCAGGTAGAACTCATCCTTTTCGGCTTCAGCCGAGCCAGCCGCGATTGTGGTGACACGCTACAGTACTGTCCAGTACCCCTCCTTCGTGTCCATTCTCCTCCCATATCTCCGGTCACTGATCCTGTTCACAGTGGAGACGCAGTCCTTGAGGGATTCTGCCACCGCTATGGCCCACGCCATTCCGTTTGGTGTCTGCTCCATTGTAGAAGAGTTTAACACGATTCTCGATCTCCGCGGCCTTCGCCCTCTTTCCATCGCATTTCCTGGCAGAATAGGACTTGGCTATATCCTGCGTCTCATGAGGTCGAGCAATCCTCACGGGAGACTCTCCGCGTAAGCGATCCACGTTGGTTCCCAATTCCAACTGAGCTTCTTTGGCCGAAAGTCTTCACCCCCTCGGTAGCCCTCGCATACTGACCACAGAACTCGGGCGAGGGTTCTGCGCGCCACTTCCGGGTGACGTCCTAGCTTTTACACTGATTCTATTGCGACTTGTCATGATTGTTGTGACGGGTTCCTCCATCAGCCGGCCTGTCAACCTGGGTCCCCGTTTTTGAACGTTTTTGATTCGGGAATCGAATCCAGGATTGACGTCGGCCTAAGTGGAGCCATCCTAAGTGCATTTCCTATTGCGGGGTTGATAAGTTGGTGCAACGTACATCAGCAGGCAGCCTCAAGCTTCTGCATTAGCCATCTCGCAATCACAGGCCACCAGTATTTCCAATGGAAGTAGAATGCTCGCCGCATTCCGCAAAGTATTGATCACTGGCAAGGGCTTCATCTCTAGACCTTTATGTTAGCGCCCCCACCTTCCGTCGGCTAACGACCGTTCGATTTCGTTGCAGAACAATTTTGAAGTAGGACGACTCCCGGCGAGCCTTCCAGCTTCCCCTGAAACCTCTACGAATTCGAAAATTATTTCTAGGAAGGGTCAGTTGATATGCAGTGGTAGGCGGTCGTTTGAAAACACTATGAAATAGCGGTATCAGTGCGCTCCCTCCCCGGCAAAAGGATCCTGGTACGACGCTGTACGCTACATAGGAGCACGGCGATCACGGCCACGCATTTCATAAGACCTGACCGTCTCCGACCATCTGTGGAACAGGCTCTTTGCTCTTGAGTTAGGGTCTCTTTATATCGAGCTCTACTCTGCAAATCAAAAACTCTTTCCCAGGGAACGTGAACTCGACGACGATTTCATTACACTGTTTCCAACGCAGGCCTTTAAAGCGATTACTCGCATGAATGTGTGGAATAGTCTGAATGTTCCGCTTACCGACTGTAAAGTTTCCTACGCAGTCGTCGGCATCGGCTTCCGCAAAAGTGACAGGTCCAGTGAGCAGATCAGGCGATACCTGGAATGAATGAATGTCAGTGTTTCGTTGTCTTCCAAGTTTGAGATTCAATTCTTCAGATCCAAATGGAATTCATTTCTTCAGATCCAAAAGCTAGTGAATAAAAAATGGTTCTATTCTTGAAGGATAGTTACGACTCCTGAAGCATTGATTTCACTTCAGATGCGACTTATGTTGGACTCTCGTGCATGAGGCCCGCGAATGTGCATACCTCGACAGGAGCTACGAGCGGAGGCGAATTTGCCCAGAGGTAGACGACGTCTTCCAGGGGATAAGCATCTGAGTGGACGTAAACATAGCTCGTGACAGGAACGTGGTAGAACTCTCAATCCTCATAAACTCACAGCTCGATAGTCGAAGGGTGAAGGATCGCTGGTTCAAGAACGGAAAACTGCTGCCATAGGTTACTGGTACGTCGATAGTTCTTCTAAACATCACTGAATACAATTAGGCTAAGTCTGGCCAATGAATTATTCTGCGTGCGCAAAACCGTCTGCGTTGTGGGGGGCGGGCTACGCACTCCATTTCAGCGTAGCGACTTCCGACGGGATATTTTGGAGCCAGAGCTGAGGAAAATACTTGGAACAGGAAAAAAATCGGAATTCTCCATCAAACTATTACTTGATTTTGAATGAATTGCGTGCCGAAATGTTCCGGATGAGAAAGAGTATGCCTGAAAGATCTCTTCTCAAATCAGTAAAAATGACCTTAAGCAAACCCAGAAGTACATGAAATCTATTTCCGGCACCCAAGGTCAGCAATAGCATGACAAAATGACCGAGGGGTTTCACCTCGACCCCATCAGGCATGTATGAGATGACATGAAGCATGAGCCAAAGGGAAGAAGATCACCAACACGAGTGAGCAGTTCCATGCATTTTAGGGAATTTGGAGCTGTGGATCCGCTGATACCCCTGAAGCTCCTGTAGGGTCGATTACACGGATAATGAGGGCTCCAATCAAGTCCAGTGGTAAGCAAATCAATTTGAGAGCGCTAAATAGTTCTTTCTTGTCTAATGCGCGCTACCTGATCACCTTTTCACTATTTTGCTGTCGAATAAAAGCTTCAGGACTGTTTGAAACGCGATTTTTTTCATGATCAAATGAAGTACGTAGTCACGCCCACCACGTCCTGAGGAGGAGGAATTTAGCTACTATCGTGGGAACATGAACAAAAATGCAGTTTCTTGATTGTTTTTTTCCAGGAATTTCTTTCGTCTCAATCATACCAAATATTCAGCTGATTGTGCTTGATATACACTATTGTCTTCTTTTTTTCCCTTTTACTTTCCTTTCGTTCACAAAATTGGCACTATTTACCCTTTACTGCCCCAACCATCCAGAATTGAGCCAGTTTTTGACCGACTTTTTTCTCCGTGGACAGATTTGGCTCAAATGTTGTTCCTGGGGTAGTTTGACCTCCTGAATACGAATATCACATTCGCATAGCCGAAACTTCCTGGCGTCCGCGCCACAGGCGCCGGTGACTTGGGGTATTTTGGCGCCAGCGCCTGTAGCGCGGGCGCCAGGAGGTTTCGTGCCGAGCGGATGTGATATTCGTGTTCAGGAGGTCAGATTACCCCTGGGAACAAGTTTTCAGCGAATTTGGTGATTTAGGGTATTTTGGCGCCGGCGCCTGTGGCGCGGGCGCCAGGAGGTTTCGTGCCGAGCGGATGTGATATTCATGTTCAGGAGGTCAAACTACCCCAGGGAACAAATTTTCAGCCAATTCTGCCAACGCAGAAAAAAGTCGGTCAAAAACTGGCCTGTTTTTGGAAGACTGGGGCAGAAAGGGTAAATAGTGCCAAAAATTTTGTTCCGGGAGAACAGAACTCAATTATAATTGGAAAGGACTTCATGTTTTTTTTGAAGGCTATAGTGAAATTTGAGCACTCTGGGCGGTTAACTTCATCGTTCTCTCGTTCTCTTATTGCTTACCTCTTTTCTGAGCAGCTGTACTATTTTCTACTATATTCAGGGATCAAATATCAGAAGAAGGGCGAAAAAGCTCCATTGGCTCTGGGAGTCCAAATGTCCTTTTGATGAAATTTCAAAAATAGTGATAGCAGTGGGCAATCTCTTAGTTTTCAACTGAATTTATTTCTTGCGATTTTGTTCTCCACGGGCCTAGGGCGACTCCGGACACTGGTTAAATTCTCAGCAATCTTAGAGATGGACAGTGGAGTCAACTTGTCAGGAGAAACATTTCCCCACGTCGTCCCTTCTTGTAATCTCGGCATGATGTCGAATGTTGTGTGTCACTTGAACCACTAAAGACATGACACTCATTCGTCCTTACTGGTTCAACTGACACACAGCGTGAGCTAAGCTCCGCACGGTGAGACCTTCGGTGAGTTGTTAGGACTCATTGCCGGGTTGTTGGGAAGCGTTGGAAACGAGGTCGGAAACGCTAGAGTGGGGAGGGCGTTTGGTCGGGTAGGTAACAAATTAAAAGCTTCGAGCCATTTTCAGGCCTCTGAAGAAGACGAGAAGGTCGAAACATCCTAACTTCTTCAGAGGCCTGAAAAAAAAGAGAAACCCAATAAAGGTTTATCTAACAGCCTCATTTGGCAGAAACATTTCCATTTCTCATCACTAGCTAACGAATAATGTGTTATCTCACCAAATCTGAACGTTATGTTAAATCATTAGCGTAGAAATAGTATCACTCCTAGCTTACAGTGCGAGAGATTCGCTAGGATGTACTTAATCCCATAACTGGGCATCTACCGGTCCAGCCCCTCTAAAAGCCCCTTCTCAGCAGACGATTGCTCGCAGTACAGCTTTTACAGTTCGAGTTTGCTTCTCACACATGACCCTCATTCAATTCGACATGCACATGTCTTCGTGAGGCGCGCCCTATTGGAAGTTTCCTGAGCAAAACACGAGATTTTACAACGTGCAACAGACACACATGCACACATTCTGAGTTGAACGTTTGCGTGCTCTGCCGGCATTACAAAGGAGAGTCAAGCGTAAAAACGACGTGACAGCTGGCATCACATTTAGCTCTTCCACACTAGGAATAAAGGGCCAGCGCTCATTAGTGCTAAAGGCAATTTCCGCATTAGAATAAGGCTATGATCTCTCGAATAAATCAGCCGAAGACGATTCTGGAGGCTGCGCTACCTTCAAAAAGTGAAAGTTGGCAAGGAAGCTGACCAATTAGACCCATGGGCACCCCTTAGGCTCATGCGGGACCCGACTGGCTGCTAGCTACTACATAGTAGCCACTAAGCTATCTCTCCAATCCGAATGGTGAGAGTGAGGTGATAAGATAAAAGAGCTTGCATCGTCATGATAAAGACGAGTGGAAATTCGTACAAACATTCTCTTCATTGCATGCACGTACAAGTTGAGGTCGACATGGAGTCCTATTTAGGGCATTTTGGAGGAGACGGACAGGAGAATCGTAATTCGTCGCACGCGGCCATGGGCGCAACGTTTCCTTCAATGGTTATTACCTTTCTGGATGGGGCGTCGGATTTCATGAACATAGAACAGGATATCGTAGAAATTCATGGTTGTTTTTGGTCTTATATTGTCTTTTCACGACCAATACGACTCATTCGTCATTGGCTGAAGCGACGCTCACTCTCGCGGCTAATCACGATTTTCTTGTCACACACCCGCATTTCAGACTGTTTTTCTGCTGCTTTTCTCCACTGATCAGTTATCTAACACTTTTTCATTCGTATGTGAGCTCCGTTACCCACAATCTGTGGTCGTAGGCTGTGCCTTTAATGTCCTGCTGATATCTGAGTTGTTAATAGCACTTCACAGTTGAGCACATGTCTTTCCTATGTAAAAGACATTGAATTTGAAAACTCACTGCTCTGATGCGCGAACAAATCCTGACGGCTCGACAACAGCCCTGTGTCGAGTACTACTTTTCACTTCGTTTGCCGTAGAAAAGTAGGTGTCTGGCATCCATATTTTTCGGTTATTTGGGATTACAACCTGAAATTTGAGACTAGATAGACACGAATGAGCGGAGAATAGGAATAACAGCCTTACACTATGCCACGATTCATGACAAGTTTACCCTGGGAACGGGCTAAAAGCCATGATCACGACAAATTTTGTGATCGATTCTTCCGAAAAATTCACAGCTCGCACATAATATGTGCTAAGATTATTACACCTTCAATGCTCCGGAAAATGCATAAGAAGGGCTCTGCAGGCGTTTTGTCGCACCAATTCAACTAGTTCTCATTGCAAGCAATGCACTCCAAGACTGTACCCTCGTTAGCGCTTGAAAAGGTCAAAAAAACAAGTGAAACTTCCCCTGACGATACGTAGCACCTTCCAGAAAGTTCTATCATAACCTCTCTTGGCGACCAAATAGAGCCAGCGTCATACTTCTTTTGGGTGGTTCACTAGTTCACGGCCTGCGCTATTGTTGTTGTTGTTGTACATGGAAGAGAAGTTGCCGGAAGAGAAAGAAGAGAAAGGGACCCGTGAGTAGAGGACAGATGCAAAGGGGGTTTTAGGAACGATTACGAATGAAAAATTAATTAATGTAGAAAAATTAAAATTAATGAGAACTTCAACCTCCCCGCCCCTTCCCCCGCTGCTTCAACAATAGTACGAATACAATGCGAAAAAGTGTTGAACGGGCTCAGTTGGCTTATACCTTCAAATGAACCCTAGTCCCCGCGAGCAAAATGCGGGGCTGACGTTCCCATTTCATGCTATTCGTCCGGTGTGGTTAAAGGGAGGCTCTGGAGGACATCCCCTGAAGGCCAGAGTCATAGAAACGCCCCCATACAACTTTTTGCCACAATACTGGCATAAGGATTCCAAAGCGCACTCATTATTTCCCTCCCACGCCATTTTTTCCATTTTCATAGGTTTTCAATTTCACCCAGAGAATCTAGAACCGTTTCTCTGGGTGAAACTGTCTCGAGAATAGCTGAGTCACGGGAAAAGCCTCGTTTGTTTCTAGCCATTGCATGCTCAGAGGAGAATCATGAAGCTTAAACTCTAGTTCGCTGCGAACGGTTGGGCGTGTCAGGCAGTATGAGTGTACACGCCGTCGAAGCCGTTCTCTGCCTTCTTGTTAAAACGCGCATGCTACACTTACACCGTGGTAGAAAAACGAGTAACATGAAAACGAATATGATACACTCCTTATTACTTCTTGCTCGCTCTAACAACTGATGGAGAACGGGTTTGGCACCGCGCCAAACTCATCCCGCCTGACACGCCCAACCGTCGAAAAAGCGAACTACACTATATACATCGCAAAGCTCTCCCATTTTGGAGCTTTGAAGATGCTGTTCACAGAGCCCCATCTCGCTGAGATTTAAAGAGGCCCGACATGGGCTGCTCATTATCTTGCCACAAGTTCGTTTATCGAACGCATTCAGATGAATAGGCGCTACAGAAGTGGTGTTGAACAGCTCGCTTCCAAGTGCTCCGACAATTCGTGA